CCCCCCCCCGACCTTGCAGGCGAAGCACCCTCACAGGAATGTGGACCAACATCAAGCCGCACGGCAACAACAACAATCACAACATGGTCTTCCCCTTCGTGCAGCCGCCGCAGCAGCAGGTCTGGCCGGTGGGTCCCATCCCCGGCCGCTTCCCCCAGCCGCCTCCCTGGGTCGTCCCGGCGGGTCCGGTGGTTGTGGTCCCGGTAACGCCGGCGTCGCCGAAAAAGAAGGAGGAGGCAAAGGACGACAAGAAGGGACGCTGGGAGGAGTTCATCTCAGACGAGGATGGGAAGAAGTTCTGGAGGCACACGGGGACGGAGAAGATTAGGAACTCCGACCCCTTCACCTGAGTGTATCCGCCAGGCCGGGGGGGGGGGGGGGGGGGGGGGGGGGGGGGNGGGGGCAGAAGGGAGGGAGTGAAGGAGGTAGCGGGAGGGAGATAGATGCGGCTCCGGAGAGGGGGAGCCAAGAAGGGGGTCAGCCCTGACAAAGTGGTGAATCGCCTCGTCGAATTGTACTTGGTGAATTATCTCGTCGAATTTTACATGGACTCGCGCACGCGACGCGCATGATTGTACAAAATGTACATAGAGGCTGATGGTAGTTTAGTTACCAACGAACAAGATAGTGCTGGAAACGCTTGATTTGTGGCGTGGAACAACTTTGTGTTTGTTCGGGGGACGGATTGATCAGGTTTGTCAATTATCGGGGGCATTCGGTGACCGTTCTCGGTCGTGTGGTTCATTGATACACCACGAAAAATTATCTTCCTTTTTAATCTTCCCACATCATTTTCGGTTATTCGGTTTAGAGAACGAGCCAGCGTTGGTATCTGGTTCTGCTGTGTCGCGGCTGCTACCATTGCAGCTGCTAGGGTATGTGTAGCTCAGTCCGGAGAAATGGAATCCATTAACCGCTCGCCGGGTGTCGTAATTATTGTCGTAAGTACGTACGTTGTTGCGGTGTTGCTGTACATACTGCTGTTGTTGTTGGCATAGAAGAAGAGTTTGTATCTTGTTTGGACGTGTATCGCGGATTCTCGGTGCCTACGCGTGACATGTGTGTGGTGCTGCTGATGTTTTTTTGCCGCCACCATCGCCCAGATCACGGCCTTACGTGGATGTACGTTGACGTGGTGGTGTGTGGAGATAATGTTTGACCTTGGGTAGTTCTATTGATACGTTCGTTCGGGAAGGATGTGACCTGAACGAACTCACCTGCCGATGACGAGGTCTATATTGCGAAAAACGTGTAAAAAAAGGGAAACGAAATACCATCATCGGCTCGACATGATGCGTGCTCGCTACACGTACGTACGTCAACAACTTGATGGAGGGCAGGCACAACGGCCAACCGCGTCAGTTGTTGCACGGGGCGTTTATTCCAGGCTGAAAAACATGGACTCAGGTTTTCTCTGCCATGGTTTTGTGCCACACGGGTCCTGATCTCGTGCAGGCCGGTCGACTTTATTTCTCCTCGAAGAGAGAGGGATGGGCAGCGGGAATGTACAAACGAGAAATGCAACGCGTTTGTGACGCAAACAGGGTCTCGTGCACACCCCACACAGCCTACCTAGTGCATGTGTCGCTCCCTACCTAGTTGTTGTTGTTGTTGTTGTTGTTGTTGTCTTCACATTAAAAACCATCCCGGTCTCTCTATCCAGTACCTCCTTCTGTCTCAATCTCTCCGTACTAATCCAGCACTTGACTCGGTCAATTTCCGTGGTCACAGGCTAACGTACCTAGAAAAGGTATACCAAAATAAAATGGACCCCAAGGGTTAGCAGAGCGATAAAATACAAGAAAACAAAAGAATCAGAAACAAATAAATAACTAAATAGTGGAACGTGCGCACCCCCAGCCTGGGGGGTAGCCTTCCGGAAGGACCCCAAGGGTCAGCAGTACGTGCCAGTAAAAAAAACAAAACAAAATAGAACGAAATAAACCAAAGACAGACGAAGACACAAACAAACTCGCGCAGAGACAGGGATATCCGTAGAGACAGTATGAACGCGACAGCAAACGGGGGAGAGGGCAACAGAAAAACTAGTCGCTGAAATTCAACCGCAACATGTCACGTCACGCGGTCGGTCTCTTCTCGCTTGCTTTCTTCCCGCGCCGTTTCCTCCCGCCCCCCTCCCGCCCCGTTGATTGGTGCCGTATCTAGACT